GAACTTGCCAGTCGCGGGCCGATCTCGCTCACGCGACACTGTTAGGAGATCCAGTGAAGAAATCAGAATTAATAACATCATCGCTACGAGATCCAGTGAGAAACATTCCGATTCGGCGCAGAGTTCTGTTATAAACCATATCAGATCAAACAGTGCTGACGTGGAAACTTATAGAAGGCTTTCAGTCCACAAATCAGCAACATTCACCATGGATTTAGGCTAATGTAGTAAGTAACTCTAACCATAAATATGATAATGCGACAGAAATAGTCAAACGCAGCCTACACATCTTTTCTAGCACTTCAAAACTATAATATCATAAATGCTTTTTTTAATACATTTTTTTATGTGATGACCAACACATTTTTTGTTCATCCTTCAAAGATTATCCTAAAACTAACAATTTTAAGATGTTGGATAACTCTTATTTAAACACTTATTTAAAAAAAAAAATACCATTGTAAACAGTAGGATGTTTATTGGCTATGTTCACTCCTAATATACATTTTTTCACTCCTTTTGTTTTTTAATTAATATTAAGACATTATGAATGATAATAATAACAAGAGTTAATTTCATCTACACCCTAAATTAAGCTTAGTGATTTATTGTCAGCCCCAGTACCAGAATGTTTTTTATTTTTTTTTTTTTTTTTTTAACTCAGTGTGAGTTCTCATTTGAGGTGACGCTGCCCTCAAATTTGAGTCTGGAGCCCTGTGAACTTAAAATAAAACTGCATATCGTAATATCTGTACGTTAAGTCTCTTTACTATTAAAGAATTTGTTTACAGTTATTTTGGGGGAGATTTGAATAATTGCATTGCAAGCTGATTTAAGGTGTGCCCCTAAATTTTCCGCTTGTGCTCCTAAAATTTTCAGTCAGGGGCAACAGCGCTCCTGGTAAAAAAAGTTAGTCTGGAGCCCTGCATTGATCTCACCTAAATGTTTGTTTTTACAATGGGGTAATTTTTTTGTTAAGAGTTTATGCAACACATGGAAGCTTGATTTCAATCTTTGAATTAAATTGAAAAAAGTAGCACAAATAAATACAATAGAATAGGCCTAAAGACACAAATAAAGAGACATAAAAAGAAAAGTTTTTGGGTAGGTCAGAAATACTACAGAAACTGATTAAAGTAATCCAATGTAAAATAACACTGGATAGTCTTTTAGTCCTGACTGAATTAAATACATAGGCTATTAATTCTGATTCCTTACAATTAATGCTATATTATGTTGTTTTGACAACAAAATTAATGACAGACACATATGGCTGCGTTCACTTTAAGAACTAGTGCACGGATCCATTACTGTTTCATTGTACTGTCTGTCACACGCGTTTTATGCTTATTTAAGACATAACCGACTGTCTTTACGAGGTTACTCACCAAGACCAGAGTTCTGACATCATTTTGCGTGTTTTTAACTGTTAAAGCGATATAATCCACGAAAAAGAACGTTTGTTACTGGCGAGCTGTTTGTGAGGCGGATTTAGGCTGTATGTGCACGCAGTGAAAAGCACGCGCGAGTGCGCGAGCACAGGATAGTTTAAAATTGCTTGAATGTTTAAACTGGTAAAACTTAAAAAAGACGTGAAAATGATAAACGTTAGTTACGATCAGGGGCGTAGCCATCATTTCAAAAGTGAGGGGGACAGAATGTCAAGTTTTTTTTTTCAGACTTTTGTTGACAGGTTTTTGCTTAATTGGTTTAATATGCTATTTATTTTTAAAGCAATAAAACAAAGAAAGAAATGCAGATGTTCAGTACTTTATATTGCACATGCAGGGTTTTTCCTGTTTTAAAACGAGGCGGAAGTGGTAAAATCCCGACCGAAAATTTTGTAAATTTTTAAAGATAAATTCATTAATCTGGTGCACTTTGAGTCACTCGAATCTGTTTAAAATAAATAATCCACTCGCCAACCGCCCACAAAATGGCAAAATTACATTTCCTTAAAAGCCTAAACAATGTCTGTCTTACTAAACTATCCAATTAAAAACCTTCAAACTTCAAGCTTTTAAAACTACTTCAAACTTTCTAGTTAGGCTTTTTCAAGAGAACTTAAAGTTTGTCTAACTTTTTTATCTAATTGTAAAGTGTTACCGAATTATGGTAAACATCATGTAAATGTTACAACGCTGCCTGATTCAAGCAGATCGTGGCTGTTAATGCATGAAAATACAAATTCAGCATTAACAATCACCATGTTTATTCTAATTTGAAGGGCTTTGATAACATATCTGTGAAAATAAAAGACATTACGAATAAAAAAAGATTGAAAACAGTGCACGTTTTTTCGGGTAGTGAATATTTTCAATTTACAACAAAACTTCTTAATTATTCTATAGGCAGAGTTATTCATCATTGTGCAACAAAATTCGGATACCAAATGACAACTTACTTACAGTGCTTGAATTTTTCGTGAAAATGGAGTGAAGAGTTTTTGCCGTTTTGAACTGATACTGATGGATTCGGCGCGGGTGCGAGCATGGGCGTG